GGTAAGGCATTAACTCACGAGGACCCCAGTTTGAAATAATTGGGGGCTTCTTTATTTTTTTAACTTTTTATTTTATATTGGAATAGAGCCGATTGATTAATTTGTGATATTAACAGTTTCAGGTAGACAGCAAAGGGAATCAGTCATACACATACATGTATCCATTCTCCCCCAAATAAGGGCTACTTTCTTATAAGACAGCAGAGAAGTACTGGATATCTTTAGCAAAAAGGAGCTCAAGTTCAAAGGGCAGAGGTAACTAAGGAGCAAGACAGAGTTCCACCCTGGCCTTTTTCTGTGATGGATTTATAGGGCCAAGTCCCCTCCTTCCTCCACTCTTTCACCAAGACAAACACACTCATTGCCCCCACAAGCAGCAGCAGTTCCAGAGGTAAGCAGCGGGGAATGGGTGGCCTTGGCCCTTCTTCAGAGCCGCGGGCCTGCCTTTCACCATCTTTGGGGTGAAGACGCCCTGAACCAGTGCCTGCTCGCTCCCCAACAAGTCCGGGGCTCCCAGTTCAGGTAATTAGGCCGTTGGCAATCTCAGCGGAGCCTGCCAATAAAACTGAGACAATCACCCTCAGCCCCTGTTCAGGGGGCAGAGAGGCGAGAAAGAGGGAGGGAAGGGAAATTGTTTTTCTATGCTGAATTCAAGACGGAGCAAGCAGAAGGGAAAATGCTGTTAGTCTCTAAGGGGCCGCTCCACACCTCCCACCCCAACTCCAATAGGCAAGGTTGCCCCCACCCACCATAGATCCCTGGCCTCTGTTTGCCACCTTCATCCAGATTGACAGGGGACACTTGTGTGGGCCGTAATCAGACCAGCAGCCAGGCAGTGAGGACCTATACTTGTGGAGGCAGGCTTTCCCCAACATGGATCCGTCCAGGACCCCCCACCCCACCCTGAAGCCACAGCCATCCTCCATAACATGTCTAGAAGGATGCTCCAGAGTGTTAAAGAGTAACTGAATGAATGCTTGGCATCCTACTTTATATCATCACCAGCTACCAAGGGCTCCATCCTTGTCTGGGTTCTCACATAGTGGGGACCATTCCTTAACCATCACTGTGATGATGTAAAGCTCACAAATAAAACCTTCCTGCGTATGATCACACTGATACGTGTGATGAAGGGTATGGCCCTTTTTACTCGCTATGTCAACTACACTCACCTCTGAGATACACAAGGGAGACAGGCTTTTCTGTCATATGGTAGGGTGGGGGAAAATGGAGTTTACCAATAATAATTGCCATTTATTGAGTGCTGCGAGGGATCCAGCACAAGTATTCTAGGACGCTATCTAATTTAGTTCTTCCTAGGGGATTGTTGTTGTTGTTGTTCAGTTGCTAAGTCCTGACTCTTTTGCGACCCCATGGACTGTAGCCCACCAGGCTCCTCCATCCATGGAATTTCCCGGGCAGGAATACTGGAGTGGGTTGCCATTTCCTTCTCAAAGGGATCTTCCCAAGCCAGGGAACAGAACCCCCATCTGCTCCATGGACAGGTGGACTCTTTACCATGAGCCACTAGGGGACCCCCTCTTAAGGGGTAGGTACTATTATTATCCCAATTTACAGACAAGAAAACTGAGACCCAGAAAGAGATTCAGAAATTTGCCCAAGATCACACTAGAGTTTTAATGAATACTTATTTAATTGAATTGAAGGCTCCCATTCTAGGTCAGGGACAAGTAGGAAGAAGGGGACAGGCATTTTGCCCCCCTCCCCCAAAAAAGACTCCTACCCATTCTCACCAACAAGCAAGCAGGTCTGGAGCAGGCCTGCAAACTCTACTTGTTCTCCTTGAATGCAACAGGTCCAGTGGGCCTAAAAGTGTCTGAGGCCCACCTCTGGAATGGCTACACGCCTCTATGGTCTTTGGGGCCCCGGAAGCTTTCAAGAATCCCAGATTCTCCCACGGGCCTCTGCCTTTCCTAATGTGGGTGCCCGGGGTTTCCAGCTCCTCAATCTCCTTCCTCTCCCGAGTCTCAACGATGGTGGGGGTGCATCACAGTAGGGTCCTCCCGAGATGAGCTGGGCGGCCGGGAGCGCTCGCACTTCCTCCCCGCCACCCCCGCGGGCTGAGCTGTGCCTCGCGCGGGGAAACATGGGCACTGCAGGCACCGCTGGTGTCTGCGGCTCGCCTGAAGGCCGCGAACCTCGCGGCGTCTCTTGGCCCCGACAGGAATCCACAGAACCCCTCTCCACCTCCGGGTGCACGCGCAGCAGAAAGCGCCGCGGAGAGGCCACGGCCGGAACTGGAGCGGCCGATGCTCGCCGGGGGTCGCTGCTCCCCGCCTCTCCCGGTCTCTCCCCAGCTGCCAGGCTCCGCGGCCAGAGGCCGGAGCCGCTGGCTAATTTTTCACGCCCCCCAGACCGCCTCCCTAGGTGACGCTACAGCCTGTGTGGTTCCTTTAAAGGCTGCGGGTTCCGTTCTTCTTTCCTTTTCCACTGGATGCCAAAATATGCAAATCTGGGGACCGGAATCAGCAGCCAAATCGAGAAGGAGAAGGGGCGCGGCCGGCGCGTCACCGGATCCGCTCCTTGTATGGCTCTTCCCGGCTTGGCCCGCAGCCCCGCGACCCTCCCGGCAGCCGCCAAGGCCCCTCCCGCGCCCAGCCCGGCTCACACTGCCGCCCACGCCCCCGGGCCGGCCAATCGCCCCCCCCCCCCCCGCCCCGCTCCCGCCCCACCGCCTTGGGAGGGAGCCGGGGGCGGGAGGCGCTGCATGCCCTGATTCCGGCCGGAGCCGGGGACCGCTGCAGAGCGCTCTCTCCCCGCGCCGCGCGGGCGGAGGAGAGCCCGGGGGCGCAGAACCTCCCCAGTATAGGTGCGGGGAGCCTGGCGGGAGCGGCAGCAAGGGCGGGGGAGAGGGGGCCCGCGGGCGGCGGGAATCCCTCCTTTCCTAAGCACCAGAGGAGATCCGGGGGAGGCCGGGCCCTCCCACCCCTAGCTCTCCATCGAGTGAAGTGGAGGGGAGGAGAGCGAGGTTGTCATCCACCCCCACGACGAGCAGCAGCTTGGGAGTTCCTCCCACACGTCCCCGGCCCGCGTGGCCCTCCTACGGAGTGAGGCCCGGGGATCCTCTCCTCCTCCTTGTCAACACTCCCACTCCTCCTGAGAAATGCACGTTCCCCCCAACCCCAGCTCCAGGGCCAGGGACCGCGGGATCCACCGCGCCCACACGGCCACCGAGGAGGGAATCCTCCTACGCCGAGCCGGTGTGATCTGGGGTCGTTCCCCCACGCTCCTCTCCTCTCCTCCCCCTCTCCCGCGGCTCGGCCGTGCGCGCTCCGGGAACAGGCCTCGGGGAACGTATCAGCCGCCCCCGGGATCTCTGCCTCCCCTGGGAGTTGACAGCGCTCGGGGTCGGCTAACAGGCGGCCCTTGACTGCAGGGCACCCGGCACTCAGCCACGGGGACAGCCCCGTGGAAGGCGAGGGGGAGGGCAGAGACCAGGGGAGGTCGCCGCGGTGGCTCCGAGACTGTGGGTTCGGCAGACTCCTGCGGCAACTCGGTGGCGCGCCCTTCGCAGGAAGCACTACACAGCGACTGCGTCTGGGCCTGCTGGGCCCTCCTGCAATCCCGTGGTCAAAGGGGTGCTTTGGAAGCATTAGGGGATTCTTGGAGGGTTTGGTGCACATGTTTCCTGTCCCCTCGACTTCACTCTTTCACCACCAAAATTGCACACCCTCGACCTCCCGAGGTGCGGGGTTCTCGCCTCCAACGCAGCCGCTCTGCAACCAATCTCCCCAACACTACACTCAGCCTGGTGTCAACTCAGGGTCAGGGGCCCAGGGAGCAGCAGGAATGTGGGCGGCAAACCCGAGGGAGGGCGGCACAAAAGTTCCCGAGGTGCTGGACTGGAGACCCCTCATCCGCTGGAATCCTCCTCAGAGGGACTTTGTCCCAGTCCCTGGCGAGAGGAGTCCAGGACCGGAGAGGAGCGGCGCGGGGGCAGGGTCGGAGCGCACACCTTCCGGGTTCCCCAGAAGTTCCCAGGCTGCAAAGGGACCCCCACCGTGTGTTCTCAATCCTTTTTCTTCCTGCTGGGGGGAGAGTGTCGGAGGCCACTTGCAAACCACCCCACCTCACTGTCCCCCGCCCCGCCCTGCGAGCCTATAAGCGCGCTCTCTCCGAGTGCCGACACCAAATAAACACACAGGAGGCTATTGCTCTTTCGACCCCGCGCTGCGCGCTTTACGCTTCACTTTCAGTTACATCCCTCTTTCCTCTCGCCTCTCGAATTTTCTTTCCTTCTTCTATTTCTCTCTCTTTTTTTTAAGATCCGCGAGCGGTGCGGGCGCCGCACGTTGGCTGCGGCCCGCTTCCTGCTTTCTAATGTTCCATTGTGAGGAGCTTCCATTGTGACGTCGCGCCCCTTCGGCTGGGCTTTGTCTGTCCATATATGGGCAGCTACGTCACGGAGCTTTCCCGGGGCTCAGATAAATAGGCTGGTGGAGTTCCCTGGCTGGGAGCTTTTGGGCAGCAGTGAGCTTGCTAGGAAGCGGCGGGGCTGGTGCTGGCGGTAGCAGCGGCAGCGGCAGCGGCAGAGGCGGCTGGCAGAGGCAGTGGCGGCGGTGGCGGTGGCGGATCGGGGGGCGGGGGGGCCGCGGGCGCGCGTCTGTTGGTGATATCAATACTGAGGCCGCGTGCGACCCCCTTGGACCAAGATCTCTCCACCCCACCCCAACCCAGCCCCCACCCACCTCGCGCACACGCCCCCCCACCACCACCACCACCACGACCCAGCCTCTTACCACGGCGCCAGCTGAGACATCCAAGAGGATTACCCACCCTTTGCCCTCTCCCCCACCCACCCCTCAAAAAAGAGATCCCCTCCCCAAGCCCACCCCTTCCCCTCTTCCCTCCCCCCTCCCCCCGAACTTTCCCTCTCGCATGCTTTTCCCCTGCACCACCGATCGCCTCTCTGATGCCGCTTGCCTGGAAGCTGCGTTAGGAGCGAGCGGCGGCGGCGGCGGCGGCAGCTCGGGAGTGCTATGACCGGCAAACTCGCCGAGAAGCTGCCGGTGACCATGAGCAGTTTGCTAAATCAACTGCCTGACAATCTGTACCCCGAGGAGATCCCCAGCGCGCTCAACCTCTTTTCTGGCAGCAGCGACTCGGTAGCCCATTACAATCAGATGGCTACAGGTAAGGGCGGCGGAGAGGCGGCGAGGCAGCGAGGAAGGAAAGGGAGAGAGGAAGAGGAGGAGGGAACGAGCTAGCTACGGATGGATAGATGGATGGATGGATAGAGAGATGGGGGGGGGTGGCCGCGCGCTGGGAATTTTCCGGGGGGCGAGTTGCTTTTCCCACCCACTCCTCCCGCCCTCCCCGATCGGGAAGGCTCGGTTGGCGACGCCACGGTAGAGGCTTCGATTCTTCCGGGTGGGGGCAGCCGCCGACCGAAGGGAGGTAGGTGCGAGCGGCTCTGGGGTTCTCCACTTAGGGGGCGCGATCGCCGGGCTGCGCGCAAGGCGTAGTGCCGTCGCCCCCTTTTCCGGGAGGAGCCCAACGTCCCTTTTCACCCGCGCTCTCCCCCCTTACTCCCTCAGCCTCCCACCCGGGATGGAGCCATGTGCGGCGTGGAGTCCCCGCGGTGGGAGAGGTACTGCGACGCTGCCTTTCCAGGGCGTTCAGCAAAGCCGTGGGGGTGTGGGGACGGCGGGGAGGGGAGAAGGTGGGGATCCACCCGCCCGGGGGCTGCCACGGGGGGCGATCCACGGACCGAGGAGCTTGGGAACAGCGGCCACTCCCGCCGTGGAGACACCGGTCGGTTTTCCGCCGCCCTCCACTCTCGCTAAGCTGAGGCTGGGCTTTCCCCCTCCAGCAGGAGCCGAAAGCTCCTTTAGGCCCGGAGGAGGCTGGGGCTGGGGTAGGCGGCGGGAGAGCTCCCTTTGCGGGCAGCACCCCTCTACGCGCCGAGGACAAAGCGACGGAGCGCTCCGGGTCAGCTACCCCGGAGCGGTGCGCACAGGGTGCTTCGTCGGGGCAGGAAGGGCGCGGGGTCCGGCGCGGACAGGGCTAGGGGAAGAGGGCCGAGTTGTGTGCGCTGGAGAGCGAGAGCCCGGCGCGCTCCGGGTCTGAAACTACCTGTAGCTGCAGCTACCTGCCCGCCCCACCTCGGGAATAACAACAATGCTTCTCGCTCTCGCGCCTGTGTGTGTGTGTGTGTGTGTGTGTGTGTGTGTGTGTGTGTGTGTGTGTGTGTGTTACGGGAGTGTGTGTACGGCGTGTGCGGTGTGTGTGCAGCAGCCACTCCACACCCCGATCCGTAGTATTTTGCTGTATCCAGGTTGCGCCCGGGAGCGCGGCACCGCCCGCTTTGCGCTGGGCGCAGCTTTCTTTCCTCTTATCCCATCCGCTGCGCACTCCACGCGGCCGCACCCTCCACACCTGGGCAAGGACCTGGGCGCCCCGGCCCGGGAGCCGACTCGGCTTCACTCACCCCTCCCCTCTCTCCCCCGCTCTCCGCAGAGAATGTGATGGACATCGGTCTGACCAACGAGAAGCCCAACCCGGAACTCTCATATTCGGGCTCCTTCCAGCCAGCCCCCGGCAACAAGACCGTGACCTACTTGGGAAAGTTCGCCTTCGACTCCCCTTCCAACTGGTGCCAGGACAACATCATTAGCCTCATGAGCGCCGGCATTTTGGGGGTGCCCCCGGCCTCTGGGGCACTCAGCACGCAGACCTCCACGGCCAGCATGGTGCAGCCGCCGCAGGGGGACGTGGAGGCCATGTATCCGGCGCTGCCCCCCTATTCTAACTGCAGTGATCTCTACTCGGAGCCTGTGTCTTTCCACGACCCCCAGGGCAACCCCGGGCTCGCCTATTCCCCCCAGGATTACCAGTCGGCCAAACCAGCCTTGGACAGCAACCTCTTCCCCATGATTCCCGACTACAATCTATACCACCACCCCAACGACATGGGCTCCATGCCGGAGCACAAGCCCTTCCAGGGCATGGACCCCATCCGGGTCAACCCGCCCCCTATTACCCCGCTGGAGACCATCAAGGCATTCAAAGACAAGCAGATCCACCCGGGCTTTGGCAGTCTGCCCCAGCCGCCGCTCACGCTCAAGCCCATACGGCCTCGCAAGTACCCCAATCGACCTAGCAAGACCCCGCTCCACGAGCGGCCACACGCGTGCCCGGCGGAGGGCTGCGACCGCCGCTTCAGCCGCTCGGACGAGCTGACCCGGCATCTGCGCATCCACACGGGCCACAAGCCCTTCCAGTGCAGGATCTGCATGCGGAGCTTCAGCCGCAGCGACCACCTTACCACTCACATCCGCACGCATACGGGCGAGAAGCCCTTTGCCTGCGAGTTCTGCGGGCGCAAGTTTGCGCGCAGCGACGAGCGCAAGCGCCACGCCAAGATCCACCTCAAGCAAAAGGAGAAGAAGGCGGAGAAGGGGGGTGCGCCTTCTGCGTCCTCGGCGGCCCCGGTATCCCTGGCCCCTGTGGTCACCACCTGCGCCTGAGGCTCGGGCCCCCAGATCCCACTTTTCCCCTTCAGTGTCTCCCGGCTGCTCGCCTGAATGCGCAGCCGAAAAGCTAGCTACGGAGGCGCAGGGGCCGCGCCCTGGCCTCTCCATGGACGTAAGGCCCCTTGTTTCCCTTCGCTGTCCCCCGTCTCCACCCTTTCACATCGGCCGACGGTCGGGGGCCAGGGCAAGAGGCGCCTTCCCCTCGATGCCCACCCCTTAGCCAAGGCGTGGGGGCGGAAAGGTGGCGTCTAGCCCGCTTTGTTCAGTTCGGATCGTCTTGATCCAGGGGCCGCCGGGCCGGGCCAAGGACCTGCCGGGGACTGAAGGCGGGGTCCGCCCAAGCCTCGCCGGACCCAAGCACCTCACGGTTCCCCCCACGTGTCCCTCGATTCCCCCTCGAAGACCCGAGAGGGGGAGGGGGTAAGGAGCGCACCAAAGCGCAGAGCTTGCTGCCCGCCGCACGCACGCGCGCCTGCGTGCGGGGATGCGCGCGAGTGTGCGTGCTCGCGTGTGTGTATGTGTTATGTGTGCGTGTGTGTGTTTCTCTGTGTGTGTGTGTGTGTGCGCGCGCGCGCGCGCGTGTGAGACTCTTGAGCTGAACTGGGCTGTGTCCACCCTAAACTCTTCCCCACTTCGGGTCCCCGGGCCGCTAGGGAAACGTCCCGGGCTGGGGGCCTGCGCGTGGCGGGACGAGACGGTCTTCCATCTGCTCAGAAATAATGTTTCTTACAGAAATGCCTCGGATGCCGCCGCCGCGGTGCTGCTACCGCCGCTTAGGGTTTGGCCCCTCAGAATCCCTCTTTTTCCGAGCGCTTCCCTCTCAAGGCCTCAGGGCAGTTTGAGCTGCGGGGAGAAGGAGCAGCCATCCTTGAACCTGCCTTTTTAGAAATGTGTTTTCCTCGGCCCCGGTTTTTAAAATCTCTGTCTCTGAGTTTGCCCTCTGCCTTCCCCCGCCTTTCCCCTCTAAGCTTTTTCCCATCTCTTTCCAAATCTTTTTTCCAAAAAGGCAGGCCTCAACCAGCCACCCCATTTCGCCATCTTTTTGTTTTCTCTCACTCACGTACCCATTTCTCTTTCTACCATTGATTGGAATGCAGCCTTTTTTTTTTCACCTTTGGCATCATCCACACAACAGGTAGAATTCAAATTTAGGTAAATGGCATGTGTGTAGGTATGTATGTGTATAAATATGTGTGTGTTCACACCCACATATATATATATATATATACACATATATGTATAACCTGCACACAGTATGTATTTCTAGCAAAATTAAATCTCTAAGGTACTTGGCAATCCAGTGCAGTGCACGGGAATAAAGAGAATTTATAGGCATATACAGCTTTAAACGATTTATTTTTTATGAAAAAATGTAACCAATGAGACTGTATCTGCCTATGTGTGTATGTGTATGTGAGTATGTATATATGCATCCATAGAAACACATAGACACACATCTGTGTCCAAATTTTCCTCAAGTTATGGGGATGTCTGCATTAATCCATGCTGATGAATGAGGCACATCTCTTCCATACCCCAGTCTCACCTTCTTCCTGCCCTACCTCACCTCTTCTCAGGCACCCCCTCCTCCCCAGCCTCCTCCGCACAGGGGGAACTCTTTGGATGTGGAGTAGAAGGGAAGCTGGCCTGAGACACAGCTTCCAGTGCAGTCTTGCCTGAATGTACTGTTCCCTGTTAGCGTTATTTCTCCTGGGGTCAGTAAGCTGCCCAGAGAGAAGGAAGACAGGTCTGGAGTTTACAGAATGTCTGTTTTTAAAGTCACTTTATGCGTTTCCCACTTTTTTTTTTTTTAAGAAAAAAGCACCGGTTTTTTTTGGTGGTGGATAAATAATACTAAAAGGAATCTAGTGAAAGGGGGGAAAAATCATAGAGCAAGAGGATTCTGGATTTCCAGGTACTTGGATTTTTTTGTAGAAGGAGAGAGAAGTGGATGAAGTTTGCCAGGAGGGCCCATATTTTTTCAGCTGAAGGGTAAAATCTTTCTTTGCAGAGACAGTATTTTGCAGAATACTTTTTATAATGTGATGATTATTTAAAAAAAAACAAAAATTTTGGTCACTTCAAAGCTGGAAGGAGGAATCAGATACCCTTTAATATTTTTTCCTTGCTCCTTCTGATCTATGCATGTCACTGCATGATAATTCTGAGTTTTCCTTTGTTTTAATAAAACTGTTCTCAGACATTTAAGCTAAACTAAGAGAAAAATGACTTTGTTGCCAAAAGGTTGTGCTATCCAGATTTTTTATATGTCTGCATGTTTTAAGAGAAAAAAAGAGAAAATGCACTCTAAAATATGTGAACTGAGAGAAAAAAATCAGGTTTTAAACAGGAAAACCTATGGGGGATGATATTTTTTGAAAGACTTTTGTATAAAGTTGAGTACTTAGAAAAAGACAAACCAGATGTAATATATTTTGTGGATGTTTTTATTTCTTGGATTTATAGTACCTTATACTAAGGTTAAAAAAATATGCTTGATATTGTGAAAAGGTGAAATTCTTCACCAACATTTCATTTGCTCCTTTGTCACATTGTTATGCCAATATAATATAGTTAATGGAAACAGCATTTTTAAAAACCGAAAGATTGAAATGGTGTCATGTTGTACCATTTGCACTGTGAGCAAATGCTAATTCAGTAAATATATTGTGTTTGCTGACAATCAGCCGGCCTATAAATCTCCTTATTTTATTTCATGTTTTCATGGCACAAAGTTTTGGTTTGGCCTGTTCTTCTTTTCTTTTCTTTTTTTGTCTTGTTTTGTTTTTGGCTGGTAGTTGGTTTGATAGGTGGTGCTTCTGCCTGGTTTTTGTGGTTCTCTCTCTGAGACCCTTTACTGTGGAAAGGGGGAGTCTGGCGTGACTAGAAGGTGGTCAGAATTTTGTGTGGGGTTCTGGTGTTTCCAGGTCCATGTTGAGTGTTTACTGTGGTTCTCAGAGAATTCCACTGTGGTTCTAAGGTTTCTCCTCCACCCTTCTGAGAGCCTCAAACTGCCAGAGAGATTAGACGAACAGATTAGATAAGCTCATGGGAGTCTGGGCTGGACTCTTTTTCTCTGGTTTCCAATGGGTATCTGAGGGTAGAAGGGAGGGGAGCGCCTGGTTTAGGATCTACTTCTCTGGTGCTAACAGTGAGCACCAGATCAGGACCCAGGGTTGGGGGGTGAGTGTCTCTGCAGTCACACTCAGTCATGCTCTAGTTGGAGCTTTTAAAGCTACTGAAAAGCAGATAGAGATTTAAGAGGGGTTCTTCAGGGTTGGCAAGATCACTAGAGAGAGGGAGAGCTCTTCTTGTGGTCAGATAATTGGGAAAAATCAGGTTTAAAAGCTCTACAACTCAGTCCTACTTGGACAGGGTTCTCCCGGTCCCACTATTCATAGCAACCTGGAAAAGGTCTATCTACCCAAGGATCCAATGCTTAGAAGAGAAAGAACCCTGGAATTTGGAGAAATACAGAGAATGTTTTCTATAACAGTAATCCCTCCCATCTTACAATTTCTATCTCCCATAGGAGTAATGCTTTCCTTACCCTCTTGAGCTTGCTTCTCTGGAACCTTGCTTTACCTTAACCGACTTTGCCAGCCCCAGAGCTTTCACCACTTCTCTTGCAGAGACACGTACGCTCCACTTCCGCCCTGTGTTCACATCTCCATCCTGCTCCATCCTGCATCCCCTCGTTTATAGAATCCTTTATCCTTGGGAGGCTTGTTACAGAACAGTCTGGACAGATCAGTCTCTCCCTCTCCTGCCTGCCCCCTGAAACACTCGCTCGGGTTTCTTAGCCATGCGTTTTGTATCTTACCTGCCTCAGCAACATGTAGGAGCTTGATGTGCAATACAGAGCTGTGTCAGTGTACCATGACACTGTGACTTGGGAACAGCGCCTCACCACCTGAGGTGCCAACTGGGCCAGCCGTCCAGTGACAGAATGTCATTGTGATGTCCCTGCTCGGAAACCGTCCTATCATGCCCCCTGCCCTCCATGCAGGCCCATCAGAGTGAAAAATATGGGTGGTATTTCTGGTTGAGAGCAGACCTGGGTGGAGACTGAGAGCAGACCTGGGTGGAGGAGGTGGGCTGTGGCTTAGAAAAGAATGTTTTTGATGTGAGAGATCAATAAAGAGAATGCAGTATGCAATCTCTCATGTTCTCACCCACACAGTTCTAGGTCACTGGCTGCCATCTTGAATTCCCTTCGCTGGCCTCATGAAACTTGGAAACTTCCAAGCTGCAACTTTGTGTACAGCTGTAAGGCGGTATCCTTCTTTTTTAACACAAGGAATCCAAGATGGCTGACAAGTCCTAGTGATGGAGAATATAGTCCATCTCCTTGCTAAACTGGATGAATCCTTTCAGATTTCCATGTGTTTTTCAAGTAAACATTATCAGCGGAAGAGAGGTCACTGTGTTTCTTCACAGTTAGCACACAGCCCTACTTGCGCCTTCTCCAGTCAGACCCGGCGTTCAGAGGGACACTTTCGTCAACAGTGTACTACGCGGCTTGATTCATAAACTCGCTTCCCATTGGTGCGTGTTACTCAACCCAACCTGGTTCAACCACTGGGTTACTTGGCAATATGGCAGCCTGCCTGGCTGGCACCAGCCCTCTGTGGTGTAATCTCTGATTCACACTTTGTTGCTAGATAAGGCTGCCCCAGATAGCATCATATCACCAACCCAACCTGCCTGAGTTTTGTAAATATGGGGAGAGGAGATTCAACCCTGAAACTTAAGGGTGAAGTGAGGGTAGGGGAGAGGAAAGTTCTGGATGGGGCTATCATGAGAAGCAATCCATGGAGGCTTTGCCAAGAAGAGGCCCGGGAGTGTGGAAACCCCTAAGTTGTTTGGGGGTGAATGAAAGGATGCCCCCCAACACACATACATACCCCTTGGAGTGGTATACTGAAAGTAATGACTCTACAAAATTGTACTTAGTGAACTGGGATTGGGTACAAATGAGGCGATACTTTGTGAGAACCGGGGGCAGGGAATAGCTTATATTTTTATTTGGTGGTGGTGGTGAGTGAGTAACCGAGTGTGTGTGTGTCTATATTATTCACAAGTGTATAAAAAGGAATAGGAAGGTGGATTCTGGTGAGTGTAGGCAATAACGTGTGGCCACTCATTCCTGATCCCCTTTTGCTAGTCCAGAATTTGCTTGCTGTAGGTGAGGGGTTGTGAGCTGCCTTTTCCTGGCCTTCATTGGCTCCCCTTGTGTCCTGGAACAATAAACCTGGGGAAAGTAGGAGGCCTCTGTGTATTCCAAAGACTAGAAAACATACTGGCAAAAATCTTAACAACTAGGGGAAAATGACTTTCTAAAAGGTGCCATGGGGTTTTAAAAATAGGTCGTAATCCTAAATCTATCACTAGTGGCTCCTTTTAGCACACCCACTCTTTGTGTGGGGAGGCGTGCACTCCCCAGAAGAAGGGGATAGTTCTGAGTGACCCTTGGAGCTCTTTGGTCCCAGCAGTACCCAGGTCAGCACTGAGGGCACACCGTCACTCCCCCTCTGTCATCTATGAGGCATGGAACATGTGTGGCCTCATCAGCTTCTCCCAGCATCCTAGCTCTTGAAATTTCACTGCTCCTTTTGCTAGAAAGTTCCCATCCATGCCAGCCATCTCTAATATTTTCCACGGTGACCATTTTCACTATCCCCTGCAACAACAGAGGTGGGGACAGGGTTGGGGGCAGTGCCGTGGGGCTCTCCCCAGTTTGCACTAGAGTCTCTAATGGTTCATGCCCAGGCAGGAAGGGAGCAGGCTCTGAACCTCCTGCATGGGATCCTCAATCCCCATCCTTCATTTGGGCTCTGGAATTAGGGTTTTCCCTGCCACCACCACCCCTGCAGGCCACCAGGGACACACTGCTCCTCAGCCCCCTAATGGGCATGAAAAAACTGTGTCTTCCTCTCTGACAAACATACAGGTGGTGAGAAGCAAGGTTTCTGAGCCATCTTACTAAGGAGGTAATGTAAACAGATCATGGCCACAAAGTGGCAAACAAGAATTAGAGAATACAGTGTTCTAGATGGTGCTGGCTACTCAGCAGAATATGGGGTGGCTTACTGAGATCCTGCTGTGCTCTCAAGGTCTCTGGACAAAGGATAAACACAATTATCTGGGCTTTTGGAATGTCATTACTTGATCTCAGGCACCCCACCATGCTCTAATGGTCTCCTCCTTCATCCATTCCTAGGGGTCTTCAAGACTCTGTAGCCCTCTAATGCCATCATTACTCTAGTTATGTTCTCTTGTTTGTGTGGAGCATGATCACCAGCCCTCCAAGTGGTCTCCCATGAGGCCTACCCAGGACCTGCCGTCATCTTCACCTTGGACTGTTCACAGTGGTATCACACCCAGCCAGAAGCCGGTGCTCTTTTCTGATCCAGCCAACAACAGACTTGAGTCCCCTCTGGGGTCACCCACTGGGTTTCTAGTGAGAGGCTCAAGAATGCTTTCATTTCTCAGCTCCCTGCAGGAGAAGAAATGTCTGACACTGCCGAGGCTGGGGACAGCCCAGTCCTCCATGAGGGAAGTTACCCTTACCTGCAGACCCGCGTTCTGGTCCACCTCAGGGGGGTGACCACTTACCCAGAAGTCATCAGGTCCCTGTCTCCACGGAAGGGAGAGAGATTAGTGCCAAGAACAGAACTGGGCCTCCAGGAACGTTGGCTTCTTCTCAACAACAGGCTGCAAGAGCTCTGGCACTTTTACTCCTGAGCACCTTGCCCATCCAGGTGGTCTAGGCACCTAAAAGTCTTCCATTCTTCCTTGTTCCCTTTTCCCTACTGCTTTGGAAGGTCAGGCCCTCTGAGCAGGAAAGAAAATTTTCCTGCTCCTGTATGACCCTCGGGAGCTAAGGAAAGCTTACTTGGGGGCACTTGTTACTCAGGTCTCCGTCCTGAAAATTGAGAGGCAGTTTGATAACCAAGCAGCTACTCCAGCTGTGCCCTTGGGGCCCTTAACTTGTTTTGGAGCCATCATCCATCCTTGATCTGAACCCAGCTCTGCCACTTTCTTACATTGTGACTGTCAACATGTTTCTTAGTCTCTCTGGACATGGTTTTCCTCCTGTCTGATCATTACTGTTGTGGGGTTCAAGTGAGGTGATGTGTATGATGCCTGACTCAGTGTGGGTGCAACATAAATGCTACTTATCTTGCTTGCTCCTTGCCCCGCCCTCTTTCCCCATCCTCCAAATCCAGATGCGAGAAAGAGGCATCTGGCTCCACCAGGGATCAGTACATGGATCCAAACACAGCCAGAGGAACGTGCAGTCCTCGGAGCCACTCCCGACCCCAGCCATCCACTGGACATCTGTATTCTGAAAATGGGTCCTCTCCACCCCACCCCCCAATCCACCCAGAGGACACGAGTCCTGTCCCCTCTTGGCTGCAGTTGCTGCTCATTGTTGCCATTTCCTGCCCTGGTTCCTGACCCCTTCCCTGGTCCTTTTGTCTCTCTCACTTAGATGGGTGGATGTAACACCTTCCTGATCCAGTATCATCTGCAAAGTTAATTAATGTGTCATCAGGTTGTTGCCTGCTTCCTGATCCTTATCAGGGATTTAAATAAAACGCAGCAGCCCCAGCTCTTCCCCGACTATCCCTCACCCTGGATCTGAGACTTGTTCCTAGTCATCAGTCCTTGACCTCAGCCTTCTAGCCAGTTCCAGCTTCCAGCCCCAGGGCTGTTGGTGCTGCCCCTGCCCCACCCTAGTTTGGGAACAGACGTGACATCCAGGGCTTTAATGACAGTGAGGTTCTTGAGAGAATCAGGGTTGCTAGGGCCTTTATCTCACCCCACCCCCTTGGGCGGGTTCCCCTAGGTTTGTAGAGTCATAGAGACTTTGGAGAAAGAAATGGCAACCTGCTCCACGATTCTCACCTGGGAAATCCCATGGACAGAGGAACATGGCGGGCTACTGTCCATGGGGTTGGACATGACTTATCGACTAAACAACAAAACAACAAAGGGACTTTGAGAGGCTATTTAGTCTAACACACTTCTTTTGAAGTGTGGAGGTCATGATTTGTCCAAGGTCATATATATCCAGTAAAGGCAGAGTCAGGATTTCAGATCCAGACTCTCAGCAGATGGTCCCATAAAAGGGTGTTAATTGCTTCATTTATTTAATAAATACTTGTGGAAGGATATAGCTGTGAACGAAAGAAAAAGTCCCTCTATTCTCAAAGATTCTCTTCTCCAGGGAAGAAGCAGGTAAAAAACAAACAAACAAGTTTTTGACACAAGCGTGTTGTGTCAGATTGTGATATGTGTCACAGAGAAGAGTAAGAAGAAGGACCAGTGTTGGGGAGCTGATTACAATACTATTTAGGGTGCAGGACTTCCCTGGTGGTCCAGTAGTAAAGAATCTGCCTTTCAATGCAGGAGATCCCTGGTTGGGGAACTAAGACCCCACATGCCACATGGGGCTTACTGAGCCCTTGCTCCACAACTAGAGAGACTGCATGCTGCGATGAAAGATTCCTCAAGCTGCAACTAAGATTTGACATAGCCAAAAATAAATAAATATATTTTTAAAAATATACTATAGGGTGGTCCAGGACAACCAAACAGGGAAGGGGCCTTTGTGCACAGATGCAGGAAATGATGGAGCTGGCCACACAGGGACCTCTGGGCCTTAGCTCTCTGGGCAGATGGGATGGCAAATGTAAAGGTCCTGATGATGGTATTCTTGGAGTATTAAAGGAATCACATGGAGCCAGAGTGACTGGAAAGAAGCCAGGGAAGGAGTCAGCCATAGGAAGAAGTCAGAGAGGTAGTGTGGGGACCAGATCACAGAGAAAGCAAACCCGTTCTGAAGACTGACGGTCAGAGAGAGCCCGTCCCCACCAAGCCTCTGGGGAGAACACTGGCCTGTGCCTGGGGCCCCCTCTCTCTCTCCATGCTGCCTCTCCTTTCACCCTTCAACCCCCTTCCTCTGCTTGGCCTCCTCACCCCCTTGCTGCCGTCTTCCTTACCCTTCTTCCACATCCTCTCAGAGGCCACCGATGATTCCTAGACTCCAGATTGTCCAAGGAGAGACAGAGCTGCCTCCTTTGAGAACCAGAGCCTGAAAACCCTTTCTCCTCCTGTTGCCCTTTGCCTGGATGCCAAGTCCCTAATAAGATGGATGACTCTTCCTGCTGTCCAGCCTCAGAATGGGAATTTCCCTTGGCCTCATCTCTGAGGAACTGCTGCAAAGGCAGCCGCCTCCTTCATCTGTGGCTGGATTGGCCATGTTTCCTGCCTTGGCAAAGAGCTGGTGGATGGCCGCTTTTCTCCAAGAGGGTCATATTCTCATCCCGTCTCAGCCCTCATCTTGTAAGATGGAACATTCCTGAAATCACTTAATGTGCAGTCTTCCTGGCTACAAGCTCCATTTCCCTGGATTTTTGCAAATCTTGGAGCATCATTTCTATACACTCATCTGAGCAGTTTCATTCTGGAGAAGAAAAAATGTCTTCCCTTGCCTTTTTTTGGGTCTTCCATTTCATGTCTTTCCAAAAGCTCCCATCAATCTCCGTCTTTCTCTGGCAACTTGGCATCATCCAGAGCTTCTTTGCATCTAATTAATTTATCCATTAATTTAGTGAAACCGTATCAAAGCAGATCCAGTGCTGCCCATCGGAGGGGAGGGGCGGCAGCAGTGCAAAGACAAACAAGCACAGGACAAAGTTTCTGTCCTCGAGGATCTTCCATTCTCTCAAGGGAAAGGCAGCCATGTAAACAGACCATTTCTGTAAATTGGGCCTCTTTTCACATGTGCTTTCCAGGTGGCATTCGTGGTAAAGAACCTGCCTGCTAATGCAGAAGACATAAAAGACACGGGTTCAATCCCCTGGAGGCGGGCATGGCAACCCACTCCAGCATTCTTGCCTAGAAAATCCCATGGACAGAGGAGCCTGGTGGGCTAGTCTATAGGCTCTCAGAGTCAGACATGACTGAAGCGTCTTAGCACACGTCATGTGATGGTAATGCCTGATAGGAAGGCATCTAAATCAGAGTCCCGTGGGAGGTGGGAGAGGTGGGGGTGGGGTGAGGGAAGCTTTCTGGGGGAACTTAGAGCATCCTCTCCAGACCCCACAATAATAATGAAGCCCCATAGTCACCAGAAACTTAACTACCTGTCAAGTGTGCTAAATTCTCTTGTGAATTATCCCACTGGGCTCTAGGTGGAGTGGATCTACCTGGGATGTTCACCTGGTGGCCTATAGGCCTGCTCACTCTCTTATCCTTTTCCCGAAGAAGAAAGAGAACATCCCGGTGGCCCACAGGCCCCAGAAAACAACACAGCAGCTTGGCATATCTGGAGCGGGCCCAGCTGGCTTGGTGGAGGTTGTCCAACCCAGATGACACTTCCCTGTGTTACATTCTGGTTGCTTCTTCCTACAGGGCAGATTTTTCTGGGGCTTGGGGAGGGGTTAGGATGGGGACTCCATCTTCAGATTCTTCTTGGTCCATGCAGAGAGTCCTTTCTGCCCTCCTCCTAAGCTGTTTCTCAGCCCAGGGCCTGAGATGGTCAGCTGGGAGTCAAGGCCACCCCATGCCCTCTTTCTGCTGACGCTCAGAGTTCTGCTTCTACAATTCCAGGGGCTTCCCTGGTGGCTTAGATGGTAAAGAATGTGCCTGCAATGTGGGAGACTCAGGTTCAATCCCTGGGTTGGTAAGATCCCCTGGAAGAAGGCATGGCAACCCACTCCAGTATTCTTGACTGGAGAATCCCATGGATAGAGGAGCCTGGCAGGCTACAGTTCATGGGGTAGCAAAAGATTTGGACACTACTGAGCGACTAACACACTTCCACAATTCCAAGCATGGACAGACCTCTGCCTTCCCCCCATCAGTCCACCCACCTGCTTCTCCTTTGCCGCTGTTGGAAGAGCTCAGATCTCTCAGCCAAAAGACCAAA